TATTTTAGTTTAATTATTTGATCGTGGGGAGAAAACCGTGTGTTATTTCTAATTTCTTCTTGCAGTGACGACTGTTTTTCTTTTCTAAAAGTTAGAAAAACATAATATTAATTTAAACTGTAATGCTGGATATAAATATGAGATCCTTTTTGTGTTTTTATTTTGCCTAAATTTGGTTTATCATTATTATATTGAAATATGGTTAATTCAATTTAATTAAAGTTTACTTTCAATTTATTTATTTAATTTTAATTTCTTATTATTAGCCTTTATAATGTGTATTATATTTTTTTTATTTCCTTAATTAATTTCTATAGTGCAATTATTGTTAATTACTTAACTTTAACGCCCGAGAAGTTAGCATTGCGTACTAACATTCGGATGACCAGCTGTTCGAGTCCTGGTTCACACATGAAAGTCCATTTGTAAGACAAAAATTCAAAAATTGGTGGAGGAGGTCGGCCGAAAATCGCTTTAGCTGTGACAAAACTTTCAGCAAGAATCAGTTATTAATTCCACAAACTCTCAATTCCGATTCTTTTTTGTTTCGTTTTTTAGAAAAGCTGGCGAAAAGATCCCAACTAAATATTGGGAAAATAACGCAAATTAAGAAATATTCAATTTCCAAGCTTTACAAAAGCCACTATGCGGCCAATAGTATTGTCGCTTTTAATTATTAATTTATTTAAATAATTTTTAACTATTTGGTAACTTAACACACATTCATGCACATCCACTTTTTTTTAGATAGCCAACATGCCAATAAAGCTGCAGTCTTTCCTTCTATTTGGTGAATAACGCCAACGTTTGTGCAAATCTTTTAGAGTCAATATGTATGATTGCATGTGTGAGCATATATATATGTGCCTATGTCTATGCTTCTGCTAAGCCAACAAAAAAATATCGATTCATATGTGATTAACGCAAATTTAGTTGAATGACAGTTTACGATTGTGAATGAAGTATCAGCAAATAGAACGTGAGAAATGGATACTCGACTTATATGCGTATTGAGTGGGGTATTTGAGTTCAGCTTATTTGGTATTTTATTTAGAGCCGGGTAAGGTAGAAAACCAAATTGTTGGAGTCTTTGAGGTAGTGTTTGTGCTTTTTAGCGGTTTTTATTTTTTCTGTTACTATTGCGGTTGATTAATTGGCAGGCTAATGTCAAATGCACTACAATAAGTGCTGTTATATTGAGTAACAAATAAGAAAAAATGGTTGTTTCGGTAATAAAAAAATGCTGTAGATCTAGTGCACGCATAATTTTCAAGTATTTCAATCTTAAGCGTTCTTAGACCCTAAACCTTTAATACAATATCATAACTAATATTAAACCAAATACAATGAAATGAAATTAAACGAAAAAATAAATTACCTTAAGTCAATGTAAGGCGTCGTAAATATTAATATAGTATTAAAATAAAAATTTAATATTTATTTGAACTATATTTACGTGCTCTATAAACTTTATATAATAAGTTCATCTGCCATATGATTTACTGTAAAAATATAACATTAGCTGGTTTACGGCCATTTTACTCATATACATTCCTTCGGCAAATATGTGTTTATCTGCTTGTGTATGAATATGCCAACGTGTCAGCAAAGTAGTGATGACATTCCACTTTATCGCTTGCTCCCTAGCTCGCCTTTAAAGGGCATTCAAGCCAATGACTGTTTCACTGACGGACGCTCACGGGCTCTTTTGTAAACACCTTTTCTTTTCTGTCATTTCCTTTTGAGGTCATTCTCCGTATATGCCTTTGCTTGCTACCGAACGGGATTAACTTCCTGCATGGACATCCAACATTTCAAATAATATACTCGCATGCACATATATTGCACATTTACCCTGCAAAAGATGCCACTGTTACGAGATTTGTTCGGGATGAATCGCATTCCTTTAAACGGGATTGCACTGCTCTTCCGCTGCCGTACGGATATGATTCCGGAGTGGTCTCATTTATACCCATTGGAAATTAGTGCGCTTAGTGGTTGGACATGTGCGCCGATGTACACATCAGGATGGAATTACTCTTATTTTATATAATATAAAACAAAGACAATTATATGGAAAACGAGGAATGATTGGACGCGAAGCTCGGCCAAAAATCGTTTCAAAGCTCATATAGTAGAATACATACACATATATATGTTCTAATAACAGTATACCATAAATTGACGTTTATATATGTATATATTTTTTTTAATTGTATGTATATACTTCAGTTTGAATACAAAGCATATTTACATGAACGGAAAGCATCATGATAAAAAGAACGAAACAGTTTTATGTAGTTGGTATTTTTTTGTATTTAAGGACATTGCACAAATAGTGATCTAACCCTTTAACAAATAAGTTGTTAGCGCTAACATTTTGTTGATACTTTCCTCCTCACACGAGGATATGAAAAAAAAATGGCAAAAAATTAAGCAGACTGACTGCTTATTATAAGTCAGCACTCATAAATGAATGTTATTTATATGCTCAGAATTTTCTACCCTAAACGTATCTATTGGAAGGCGGTACAAATTTCTGAAATTTTCATTTTTCTTGAACAGCTGGCCACAAAGCTTCAATATATTCACAACAAGGGAAGAACTTAGACATAACCATAGTTATTTAGTTGCATGTCTTATGAAAAGCTCTGGATCCTAAGTGATTAATTATCCATATATTAAGTGTGAATACGATCCAAAAGAGGATACAAAGTGGATTCACTCTGCTTATCCCAGCTACTGCACCAGTTTTCTAACCACAAACAAATGCCTGAACTTATATAAGTAAGTAAGCCGGTTGATTACAATCTTTTGCTCTATACGCACGTAATAATTAACAGTACAACTACGCATAGGCGGACAGTATTGTAGGAATTACATGCTCTTCAGTGCTTGATGCCTTCAGTGTGGAGTGTCTACGACTACGTCAACAAATTTCTTTTTAATCGCGTTTAAGTGTTGACTAAGTGTAAGTGGGCAGACAGGACGCACAGATGCACACATTCACACTCACTTTTAAGTTGAAAGTCTACAGCAACTTCTTTGCAGTGTCCGACATTGGTAAGCTTTTGAATTTGAAAATGGAAGAAAACGAAGACATAAAGTGAAAAATTCGCCTCAAGATTGGTGGAAGCAAGTGAAGATATTTATTCATATGCAAATGTAGCTGTACTCGAATATATGTTGAGCATGCGTTATTCGTGCATACATATTCGAAACGCATAAGTCTCGACGCATTGCAGAGGCAGCTAGGCAAACCCGACGTAGGGAAATTTATTTGCAACTGTCCGTTGTAGCACAACATGGCATATATCCTACACTCGCACTCTTATTTCGGTAGCTTGTCGACTTTCTTACAGACACAATCATACATACACGTATGTAGATATATAAAAATATTTTTATATCATCAACTGCTTATAATCTTTCTACAGTTCTCCTTCTCTCTCCGTAGTTTATTTACCTCCTTGCCCATGCATTCCTGCGAGCTTTCATTCTCTTTGGTTAGCTATCACTTTCTTTTTTTTTTTTTTTTTTTTTTTTTTTTTTTTTTTTTTTGAAAAATGCAATTTTCCTGTTCAGTCGTCAAACAGAATGCATTGGATTCATTGGCTTTTGAAATATGCTGCGTACTACTTTCTGCTTTCTGTCATTTCATACCGCCTGATTTTTCCACTTAGTTGGCTTAGTATCACACTTGTTATTTTCTTTAACCGTCTTTTTTTCTTCTTTTTTTCTCCTCAACATGAACGTTCGTTACATATTGGTAATATATTAATTTTTAGTCTTTCCTTGAGGTTTTTTTTCGATAAGGGGCCCGATACAGCAATTTATAGTTATGACCATGGGCCGACCCTAGTCTTGAATAACATTTAAAAAAATAAATACGAGGTTTTTTTAAAGGCCATCGCCGCTTAGTAGAACATGCATGCTGAGACTATTTGCAGACGACTTATTATTTTATATATTGTGCCGTCCCTCCATCGACTTATAGTGAGTAATTCCGTCATCTTCAGACAGTGGCACTCCAACAATATCATTAAAGAGTAACAAAAGGGCTTTCTGCAGGGAGAAGAGTAAAAACGAGTCGCCTTTATTAACAAAAATTAAGCGCATCGGCCTCGAACCAAAAAAAATTAATGAATCAATAAAATTTAATCTCTAGTTGAGAAGCTACTCAGTTTAGCCTGCTTTTAACAATTTTTCATCTCTGTATAACAAGTTTTCGCTTAACATGTAAGACAATAACTATATAAAACTTACTCTTATTAAGCATCAAGACCTTATTTTTGCTTTTATTATCAATTGTATTTACTAGGGTATAACTCTACCAATCACTTCCCATTGAAGTGCATGTATGAATGTACATATGTATATAGATCTGGGCATGTCCAATTAATTGTAAAAATATTTACGAAAGCCTGTGTGCGTGAATGCAAATGCAAATAGTAAAATTGGCAAACACACGGGAAATCGAAGAGCAAAACATTTGAACATCTAACAACGGATGAGCTGCTATACGACTTGAAGCAGAACCGAAGAAAAGAAGAAGCAGAACAAATATATGGATAAATAACTTCAGGTGTAGTTCTAAGCAAAGCGACAACAAGATGACAAACATTAAGATGAGTTGGATGGGTCGCAGTGCTTGGGTGTATTATCCTTACTGATAAAGGGGCCACTATTCCATTTCGATTACTGTTGTCGACTCGGATCGAGCAAAGTTAGCTTAAAGCCTTCAACTTGTACGTTCTTTTGACAAATTAGAAACCAGTGCAAATCGGGCCAGTAAAAATTGATATTTATTTGCAATGGTAATTGAATGATAATATAAATTCTTATATACGTAAATTATGTATTGTATAAGATCTATTCACATTAAATGATCTAATAGTTATACCAATCTTAAACAAGCTCACAGTAAGGTGAATGCTTCAACCATAATCCTACATCCTTCTTGTTCACGTATTTGTATGCAACTGATAAAATGTACTTACCTCTTCATAAATGAAATTATCAATTTCCTCCAATGGTTTGCCATACATATTCTCCGGAAACGGTTCGAATTTCTTTGGCAACACATCACCGTCCTCGACAGTCGCCTTCGTTCTCGGATGAAAGCCATACTCACGCACCAATTGTATGTGACGATTTTCATGTTTGATTTGCGATTTTTGCGTGTAGGCAACAACTTGCTGTTTGGCAACTGCAAAAGGAGACAAAAAAGATTTGAATGAATATAAATTTATAAAAAAAGAGTGTCGCAGAGGTCAGAAGTGGAATACATATATGTATGTACTATACAACCTACAACTTGGTATTGAGGTTACGATTGCCAAACGTAAGCCAGTAGCCTATTTTTGTTTAGGGCGGGCTGCCTTCAATTTATTTATACCTTTGTATGTTTTTGTACAAATATACTCTAAACACTTTGGTGTCAAATTGGTGTATTTATGGTTTTACTTTATGTGAGCCATTTGCTTTTAAAGCATTTCCATCAAGAAAAAATATAACTTGCTGGATAAAAAAGAAATAAAGTAAAGTAGGAAAACTTAAATAAATAGTGTAATACAATACTTTTGTTTGAAATGAATTTTATTACCATTTTTATTGCACAACGTAAACTGCAAACTAAAAATACAAGCACCGTTACACTGTACATTTGTTTGCCGATGAAGTGTGTATCTTCAAAAAGGTATCGAAGAAATGAACAGCATTACAACATTACTTTCACGCAAGGTATTACGGTGATGTATTTGATATGATCATAAGAACCTTGGTTGGTTAAATTTTTCCAATGTTTGCAGTTGTTGCTAATCGGTGAAACCCAAGTTGCTATGGTTTCAATGGCAGACGTTTGATAGAGTCAAATAATAGTTGTAAAATAAATTCGTTGCAAGTGCAGTTGAGTTGATAGGAGAATCAGAAGAATATAAATAAGAATGTAAGGATTTATTTATGGCCCACATTTGGGTTTTCGGCTAATGATTTTTAATATTTTATTCATTATTGTTGGAAGGGTCACAGCGGAATTGTATTGATATTAACCAATATTTCTTCACTTTTTTATCAATAAGTTTCAATGGTTTTGCCAAAAGTTTGGATTTTATTGAGCAAAAAGTTCAATTATTTGTGCACGATTTGAGCAAATAAAATCTTTGCCGTGGCTCTGAATTTTGTCTGTATATCAGTAGCCATGACAGCGGCAGTTTTGTGCGTCCAATCCGTTTTCTTTGAATCTACCTTTTGTCTTTTAGCGAAACTGCAGACTCCAATATGTGATAACAGCGAATTATTTGTATTTATATATAATTGCCGCTATGTAACTACTGAAGAGGTTTTTCGGTCAAGTTCCTCTTCCAATTTGCGTTTCTTTGCGTCTTGATGTTTTGCCAACAATAATTTTTTATTTGACTAATTTTCCATAACTTTTCTATTTTATGGTAAGTTCAATCTACCCATTGAAACGGCTTTTCGTAGAGTGCAAACTGGAGAAAATATCGCAACTGAATCGGACAGTGTTAATTATGACCATCAATTATCGATATAGATCAGCAATGTATCCAAAAAAAATTACAGTTTGGTGCGGTTTATTGGCTGGTGGCATCATTGGACCGTACTTCTTCAAAGATGATGAGAATTGTCACGTAACTGTGAATGGTGAGCAATACCGTGAGATGATATCAAATTTTTTTTGCCCGTCATGCAAGGGCTTGACTTGCAGGACATGTATATTTCACGTTCGGGACCGTTCAATTGGCCGCCTAGATTGTGCGATTTAACGCCTTCAGACTATTTTTTGTGAGGCTGTGTTAAATCTAATGTCTATAGTTCTATACAGAAAAGCGCGCTTTAATAAACTCATTGGAGGACAACATTGAAGCACTTATTCGTGAGATATCGGCCGAAATGTTGGAAAGAGTATGCCAAAATTTGACCAGGCGCATGGACCATTTGAGGCGCAGTCACGGTCAACATTTGCGTGAAATAATCTTTAAACATTGAATTATATAGACTGTACTATCGATTCAAATAAAGATTTTATGCATTTTTCTGAATTTTATGTGTTTTTTTTTAAACTTTCCTATAGCTCTTAAAAATCGCCCATTTGCTTTTTTTATCTAAAAAAATTGTTATTTAATATATTTTTAATTATATTATCAATATTAAATAATTTAACTATTCACTTTCCTTTTCTTTTAGTTAAATATCAGTGCCGTTTAAGCAGTCAACTTACCAAACTCCTCCGACCATAACAGCAACAGACGTCAAAAAATGGCACCAGCCAGCCGTGAACTGCATTTGCCAAAACCATCCAACTTTGAAGGCAGTGTACATCACACCTCCGCTCACGACGACTACACCTCAACACGAGCGCAACTAAATCAAATTTATGCTGGCGCGATCTCAGGTGCCTTGACACGCACCATCACCCAACCCTTCGATGTGCTAAAGATTCGATTTCAGCTGCAAGTCGAACCGCTATCGCCACACAAAAAAGGCAAGTACACGTCTCTATGGCAAGCCAGTAAATTGATATATCGAGAAGAGGGTATGCGAGGACTCTTTAAGGGTCATAATGCTGGACAATTTATGAGTGTCGTATATAGTGTGGGCCAATTTTGGTCTTATGAACAGATACGTGCTATAATGCGGGATAGACCCTTTATGTCATCACACATGAATATTATGAATTTTCTGGCCGGTGGTTTTGCTGGCTGTGTGGCCACCATTTTCTCCATTCCCTTCGATGTGATACGCACACGTATAGTAGCACAAGATCCCGGACAGGGCTATCGCAGCATGTTGCACGCAGTACCGATGATTTGGCGCACTGAAGGAATACGTGGCTACTTTCGTGGCCTGCAACCCACACTGGTGCAGATTGTTCCATTAGTGGGTTTCAACTTTATGTTCTACAAGAAATTCAATGAAATGCTGCAGCACACACCTTTAGCTCACAACGAGCTATTACCCACTTGGGTGTTATTGTGCACTGGCGGTGCGGCTGGTGTAGCCTCCAAGGCTGTTGTATATCCACTGGATTTCATCAAGAAACGTCTGCAGGTGCAGGGTTTTGAACAGCATCGTACGAAGTTCGGACGTACACAACGCTGTCGTGGTGTTTTTCATTGTATTGAATTGACGATGAAAGACGAAGGTGTTCGGGGCTTCTACAAGGGCATGTATCCGACACTTATCAAGTCGGGCCTAATGACGGCATTCTATTTTACCATCTATGACAGATGCAAATTGATACTCTACCATTACTATAATCTTGGTGAAGGTCGCTCACCTTACGGAAAGCATTAAAGGCACCGATAGTGAGAAAATTGTGACAGCAATAACCTGTAAATCGACGGATTGTAGTGGCTCGACTGAGGTGTGCATTGAATCCATAGCGCAATGCTGGAGTTCTTGGAGCGCATCTTGACTTATACCTCATTAGAAATAATCTACATAAGTGCATAGCAAGTAGATTGTGATAGCCCTTAAGAGACAAAACAAATTACAGCTTATAAGAGTACTTACTACTTACTTACATACCTACACTTTATGCTATTGTATAACATTTATGCATTAAAGAAGCGATTATTAAAGATATTGTGTTACAAACACTCGCAAAAACATCTTAAATTAAATTATGAAAACAAACATACATTTGCATATGCAATTAACATTAAATCTTAAGCTTAATATAAATAACTGTTTCGCAACAAATCTATGTCCCTCGCTCAATTAAGTCTAATTGCTTTGACAAAATATTTAGTTGCCCACCAAGAAAAAGCATATCTACTTATTATTTATAAATAATTAATATTTCTTAAAAATATGTATACTTGAGTTGTATTGCAGATGCTCGGTTTTTGTCGTAATTTATGCCATTAAAAACCTTAATTTAAACTTTCGTTTGCGTATAAAAATCTCCTAAGGTTAGGGTAAAGTGAACGCCATGCCTATAAGGCATTTCCTTGACTCGAAAGACGCTCACGAAATTGTGAAATACAGTGCACATACTGTATCGCAAATATTTAATTTTGAAAGTTTTAAAATTACACGAAATTCATATATAACCTTAGCTTGGCCCGACCTTCTCAATGTAGGTTTTAAATTTGATTTAGAATTATTCTCCCATTTTTATTTAATTGATGTTAACTGATAATTATGTGGAAATGATCTTAAAAATATATAACTGCCTAAGAAGACTTCAATAATTTCAAATAAATAAATGCTATGTGACTATTTAGTAAATTTTCTTTTATTTGTGGAATGTTTTACTTATTGGGGAAATTAAACCGTGTAGCTTTTTCTTATTTACTTTCTGTGTTGTGCTGTTGGATTTTTCTTTTGATAAAAGTCTACTAAGCTGACTAAATTCAGAGAAATTCAATATTTTGCAGACGCTCCTTTCAGCGCTACTCTTTAAACTGCTTGTGACTATACGGGCATTGCGACTTAATTAATCTATACTAGCAGACCCAGCGAACTTCGCCTCGCCTTAATTGCATGCCTTTATATTACATTAAGAGTGATAACAAAATATATATAGATAGATTAATTCTGAAATATGAATTATTCGAACGAGCTCGATCAGCAGAAGACATTATGGTAGGAAAGCAAGGACAAACAACATACGTCTAGATGGTTTGTCAACACGCGAACATGGGAAAAAATTACTAAAATTATACTAATTGGTTTTAGCGGAAAAAAATTAAAAAAGTTTAAATCGTAACTAAGATAATATCGTTTGAATTGGTCCCCGAGATTCTCTTAATAAAGTTGAATTTTACTTCGGTCCTGCCGTTATCAATTCAGGAAAAACTATAAATTGTTTTCATCATAAGGGTTTCCCATTGAGCGAGATCGAAATTGAAACGCACGATTTACCTGTGAGACCGACTTGCGTCAATCGTGCACAAAAACTAACCACATATCTCGTTCTGTGAGTTATTTTTTCTGATACAATATATATGTATATTCTGCTTAATTCATTGAAATGGCTATTGCCATAGCGCACGCTATGGAGTTGCCCTGCTTTTATGCTCGTAAATGGAAGGAAACGGATCCCGTATATGCACGATAGGGGTTTCCAACAAAGCTTTTGCTTAAGTCAACGAATGATTCCATCTATCGGGTTATTGGAATGAACCAAGCCAATTAAATATCTGCTCGATGACCCATGGTCTACTTTCGATTTTTTGTTTTATTAATCCAAACTGTAGAAACGATTTTTTTTTTAATAGATCGGTCTTATGTTCTATTCCTGGAAACAAAAGTGATCGAACTAGAAATTCAAACTTTTCGAATAGATCAGTGCCAGGTCCTCATTTGTATGTAGATGTTATGTCAGACCTACTGAATATGCACATAAAATTTCGTTAAAATCGCTCAAGCCGTTTTGGATGAGTATCGTGTCTAATACTGTGACACGAAGATTTTATATATTAGATATTTAATTCGTGCTCAAGCGATTTTCGTGCGAGCTCTCAAGTCTGAGGTATGGAACTATAGTCTATCTTAAACCTTCTCCGAAAGAGCGATGGATTTTTATGAGGCACTTTTATTTCATGGTCTAATTCTGGCCTTCAGAATGGCAGTACTAGCCACTCAGCGATTGCGGCCGCCAATGTGTAAATTAGGTCTGGATATAATAAGAACTAAAAGAATTACTTAATTATTTCCGTCTTTCGCCAACTTCTTAATACAATTTTTTTTTGACATCTGAATTATTTACTTCATTTCATAAGATATGGTAATTTTTTTAGAGAAAATTGGACCAAAATCTCTTTTTGACAATACCATTGCATTCCCGAACGGTTGAACACATCTACGAAATCTTCAGGAATTGTCGAATAATTTCTATTGTGTTCCATTGTGAATTCTTTGAATGTGACACAAAAAATATGTTTCAATGAGAAGCTTTTGGAGCTATTTGCATTAAAATTTTCAAGCAGCTTGCGACCTTGAAATCTCTATATATATATATTAGCGTCTTAGCCGTCTCTATTTACTTTTGTGCTAAATATATGGACCGAAAATATACGAATATGAAGGATGTTTTGAGTGATGACAGCGGCAATTCTTGTTGATTGCTGAGGCACTGAGATATTGTCCCCACTTTTAAGTCGTCATGTTGCCAATATACATAAGTATAATATAGATATTATATATTGTACATTTATATATACTTATGGAGCATCTCCTGTTTTTGCAAATATATATTTAGGTTTTTGTTCAGGTATGCATAGTCCTGACTATTGTTGTACATGTAGCAACATGTACATATACAATAGCCAATTAATGACAGTTTAGTTTTACCACCAAACTTAACGAGGTTTGTCAGATGTACAGAGGAAAATATGATTGACTGCCAGTGGCAGCACAAGCTCACGCCATCAATCAGCCAATATTTTTCACTCGTATTATTTTATTCGCTGAGTTGTTAGTGCTCCTGACAATTGTATTTATTCCTCACTCAACTTTTCATTTTCTTTTGGGTTTCGCACGGCTCTTGTTTCTGCTCCTCATTGCACTTGAGTGTGTGCTTTGACGAGATTAACTTAAAGTGGATTTTAGAGCTGTTTGTAAGTATGCAAGCGATCGACCACATTAGCAGATTGATTATCTGTGCATGCTACCATGCGGATGATTGAGAGTTTGAAGCTTGACCAACCAGCATCCTGAATTAATTTAATAATAAATAAAACAGGTTGGAGAAGCAGCTCAGCGGAAAATCGTTTAGGTGGCTACAATATGTATGTACTCCTTCAAAGTTAATATTAAGTATTGAGTACATGTGTCTTGGGGATGGGGCCATGTATAGAAATTCACGTAAGAGAGGAAAGTTTTTAACTGTCATTCACCTAGAAGTGGCCAGAAACGATTCTCTTGCATATTGTTCAAGCAGCTCACGACTTCCGGTCTTAAACTACATATCCCCTGGGTAGCCAATAAGCATCGGTTCAGAGGCGAGCTAAAGTGAGAAGACGAACCCCATACGGTTGGGCGTAGGGTTTGGGACCCACCACATGAAATCCTTAACCCAATGAAAAATCGAAATAAGCCTCGGATGATAACCCCCGCAAATGTTTTTAGGATTACGATTTGAGGGCATGCACCTGGAATGTCCGGTACCTTAATTGGGATGGTGCCGCTGCCCAATTGGTTGATGTCTTCATAAAGTTAAAGGCTCATAAACCACAATCCGAATTAAAACGAAATTTTTCAACACCTCGCTGATTTGCGACCACCCCGACGGAAGAGAAAGACGATGTGAACAAGATGCCTTTTACGAGCGCTTCGAGCACACTTATGAGCACTGCCCCCGCCACGACGTCAAAATTAAGGTTGGTGATTTCAACACTAGGCTGGGCAAAGAATGTATTTTCGGAACATGAAACATCCTCAAATGGGCTGAAGCAGATTGACTTCGGGGCCCGTTGTCTGTAGCACTAGGTTTCAGCGCGAAAAAATTCACCAAGCTACTTGGCTGTCTCCAGATCGAAAAACTCAACCAAATCGATCATGTTGTGATTGACGGAATACATGTATCCAGTGTTTGAGATGTGTGCTCTTTCCGAGGTCCTAACATCGACTCAGATCACTATCTTGTCGCAGCGAAGATACGCACCCGCCTCTTTATATCGAAAAGCCCGTCAACGTTGTAAAGCTCCATCGACGTTGTAAAGCTCCAATCAATCGGCATTTCAAAACTCCCTACGTACAGCTGTAAACGAAACTATTGGAATTCGTGAAGGTCGCTGGTACTATGAGGACTGCCGTGTCGTAGTGGAGAGAAAACAGGCTGCCTGGGTGACTGGGTGAGTATGAAGAGCTTGAGAACCTAGCCGATTACCCTTGTCAGCTCGAAAATTCTATGAGAAGATACGACGACTTACGGAAGGTTTCAAGACCGGAGCAGACTCATGCCCAATGCGCAGAGTATATTAAATTTATGGAGGAAATACTTCTCCAACCTACTGAATAGTAGTGAAAACTGAATGCGGAGATGGTGAACCCAAGACCCCAATCGATGACGTTGGATAAGGCGTTCCATTACCTGAAAATGAAGAAGTTCGAATAACAATCGCCCTTTGAACAACCACAAAGCGCCGATAGCTGACGGCCTACCGGCAGAACTATTCAAACAAGGCGTTGAAGAGCTGACAAGGTGCATGCATCAGCTGCCTTGCAGAATATGGTCGTATAAAAGCATTCTCGACGATGGGAAATTAAGTGTGCTCTGCCCAATCCATAAAGACGGGGACCCCACAGTCTTCGCCAACTATCGTGGAATAAGCCTCCTTAATATCGCCAATAAGGTCCTTTCGAGCGTGTTGTGTGAAAGACTGAAGCCCTCAGTCAACAAACTGGTTGGACCTTATCAGTGTGGCTTTAGACCTGGTAAGTCAACCATTGTCCAGATATTCACTATGCGCCAAATCTTGGAAAGGACCCGTGAAAGGAGGATCGACACACGCCACACCGCTATGTCTGAATTTGGTATTCCCGCAAAGTCTATACGGCTGTATAACTGACAGAGAAGGACCTCTGCGGCTGACTTTTTATCGTGTGATTTTTTAAACTTATCGCAGGAGCAAATAATAAGAGCTGCCGAGCTGAATAGAGAAAGTACAATCTTCTAAAAGAGTGTACAGCTGCTGGCGCAGACCGATAATATTGCCATTATTGGCATCAACAACCGCGCCGTGAGTTCTTCTTGCTCCAGACTGTTTAAGAAACTGGAGGATATGAGAGTGGTAGTGAACGAGGGCAAGATGAAATATTTCCTGTCGTCAAACAAACAGTCACCGCATTCGCGAGTCGGCTCCCTCGTCACTGTTGACAGTCATTACTTTGAAGTCGTAGATAAATTCGTATTACAGTATTAACAGCAACAACCATATCAGCCTGGAAATTAAATGCAAACTCTTGCCAACTGGTCCTACTTTGGACTGTGTAGGCAATTGAAAAGTAAAGTCCTCTCCCGACGAACGAAAAGCAAGCTCTACACGTCCCTCATCGTTCCCGGCCTGCTATGGACGATGGCAACATCTGATGAGTTTAGAGTTAAAAGTTTTCGAGAGAAAGGTTTTGCGTAAGATTTTTGGTCTGCGAATATCGCAGTATTCGATGCAGTACCCGCTGGTGGAAGCACTCCGTTGGAAGGATCAGGTGGAGAGCGTCCTGGCTGCCATTGGTATTTCCAACTGGTGCTAAACAGCGAAAA